TTAATAATATCGGTTGAATGTTGTAGAGAAACAAACAGTATTTATATGGTAATAAGGTGCAGTACGCTAACTGCATAACAATAGCAACTCAAAGATGCAAGCAATAGTTAAAGATAATCTTGATGGCAAATTGGATTGTCAGTATTTATTCACAAGCATCTGCCTGTGATAGAAGAAGGGAATCAATGCTGCCACCAACTGCGATGGCAGTGCATTTAATTATCACTACTTTCGTGGGTGGCAGGCAATCTGCAGTGTGGGTGTGTTAGATTGAGCACATCTGTATATCTTGTAATTAATTTCGGTCCATCAAAGAAATTACTGAATAATGTGATTCCAGCCAAAGTCTTTCTAATTTCTTATGACAATGCAGTGACCTGCCATGTTTTGAGTTGAAGCTTTTCTGAGCTTCTAAGTACAGTACTGACACAAACCTGTCCTACCATATTCAGCTCCAATCAACTGCGTTATAAGGCCTTCAAAAATCCCTTCAAAGAACTGGACACATATATAAAATATGCATTTTAGCTTGGTGTTGAGAAATAAGGATGCTAATTTGGACTTGTTTATTTAAAATGATGAATGTTAAAATGAAAAGGCGCAAGAAGCTTTTAAGTATTCATGTTGAAATCGCTGCACCGTAATCATAGTCATATGGGCAAAACAAATACCAACATAGGGCTGTAAAATATTGATACCTTACAAATCTCTATATTTAAACTGCATATATTATTTCTAAACAGCTTCAGTTTTCCAAATGTCATTGATGTTACAATCCCAAAACTATTTCTAGGAATAGAAGCTGGACTAACAGGTCTGCTTTAAGTCAAAGACTTCTTAACTAGAATTTAATACACTATCAACACTCAAACAAAGTCTAACTCCAGAATTAAATACTTGAATGATCCAGAATGTAATCAGAATACTGCAGCAAACCTTCATAAACAATTAATAAATAGCTAAACATATATTATTGGAAAGTTCATAATATTAGCAATACATTTACTTTCTAATAGTATATTTAACTTAATGGATACAAATCTAAGTGTTTGACACAGAAACACCTTCTCTGGTTTTAATTGTAAAATCAATTATTATTTTTTTTGAAAAATAAATCAGTTTGCAATAATCTATTTGTTTTTCTGGAGGTCTGACACACGTGGGAACACATTTTGAAAGTGTGGAAGATTATTTTGTAAATGTAGTTGTAGAAACCTTACGGCCAGTTGTCAATAGTATGCTCGGCTAAATTATCTTTTCAAAAGCTAACCATTATTTTCTGTTAGCTGTCACAAGGAAGCAACTCACTTCACACTTTTAGCATTCTAGATTTGAGTGAAAGAACATGTGGATAATCCATCTGTCTACCATATCTGTAATTAATTTCATTAGTTTTTAATCATATTCCAAGTTAACACCAGTCAGGAAAGACACTGAGGTAATACTTTTCCAAAGGCTTCCAGAGATAATCTAATGGGACACGTTAGGAGAGTTTTAAGGAATTTCTTTTATTGCAAAAGCTAAAATGCTACAAAATCAAATTAGTAATCCTCTCAAATGATCAAAGTGTTTGTTTTCTCCCCCCAAAAAAATCAGTCGATCTTTTGCCTCCTATCAGTGGGACGTATTTTAAATATTTCCTTGTACAAGTCCACATTTTAAAGAGGAACACAAAATACAAATGTCAAATTCATCCAAAGATGAATTTCAGGAGCCAGTTATGTTTTAATAGGGGTGAAAAATGGCATCACATCTGTTATGAAATGACACATTTTTCAACCCATACAGTGTCGATTAGGAATGCACTTGGATGTCTTTCTCTCCCTCCTCGCACTCCCTGATATTATCTGAATGCCCGGTTCATTTTTGACTGTCAGTTTAGTGAAAGAGCAGCTTTTTACTGTAAAAAAGAGTAAGGCAGTGTCAGATTATGCCTCCTCCAGCACACGCTGGGAAATTCCTAATCAATCACTTTATTGCTAATGTTTATGTTTAAACCACATTCTAGTAGTAGTTGTATTTCTTAACAGTTCAGATAAAACCAACACCTTTGCTACTTCACATGATTGCTTTTGGAATGAACTGATGGCACTGTTTCAAATAAAACAACAAAGCAGCTTCAAACGCTTTTATAAGTGTTTACAAAAAAATTATGGGAACTTTTAGCAAGTTCAAGTTATTTTCAGCTGGGACCCTACAAGTGTCAGAGGCGGAATGTCCTGTAATGTATTGGTTAGAGCACTCACCTTGTAAGCTGGAGGACCTGGGTTTGATTCCTGGGCAGGACGAAACCTTAGGCAAGTTTCCTCACACCACACACCTGTTTACCTAGCAGCAAGTAGGAACCCAGTTTTTAGTCAATTGATAGATTGCTTTTCCTGGGGTAATAATCTCTTCAAAAACAATAATAATAATTTGATCACTCAATCCACGACTGTTTGTGGGACATTGCTGTGCGCAATTGGCTGCCGGGTTTCCTCCACAAAATATATAATCAATTAACTTTACAGTATATTCTGTGAAGTGCTTTGAGACGTCTCAACAACGTGTTAAGCCACTATAGCAAATGCAAAAATTATTATTGTTATGGACAGCATCTTGATACAGCACACATCCCACCTTCGAGGTGGCCATTACTCATTACTTAGTGAGCCGTACTTGGAAGAAATATTTATCATATCGCACTGCTACTCGCACTATATCCTCTATACATGGTGATGGATTTCCACATGTACCAGACACTCGGCTGACCAAAAAAATCCTCTATACATCAACAGGATTTCATGAGAAAATATCAAGCTTCATGTCAATGTCAAGTATCTGTTGGATGTGTACCAGCTTTAGAAACTGTCAGTTCACAAGCATATGTATTAATATCTCTGCTACCTCACACAAGCTGGTCGCAGGAAATTGGGATTAGAATGACTGTTTGTGGATCGCAGATTGGTTTTCCTTGTGTGGGATGAAAGTCGAATGGAAATCAGACAGTTTATGGGCCAAAGCTGGAAAATATTACAAACAACTTAATATTGACTTTCTTCAGTATTCTTTTAGGTTAAGAAGCTCGAAATCAAACTAAAAGGAAGGTTTTGCATGAGAGCTATTTATGTGTCACATCACTTTACTGATCATCAATATTATTGATAAATTGTTGTTATTCGGCCCAAGATTCTATTCTCACTCATCTGAAGAGCAAATGACAATCCACTTCTTATAAGCAAGCAGTTGAGAAGCATTTCTTTCAATGTATGATTCCTGCACAGATGAGTGGAGAAATGTTTGAAATCCATTACAAAATTCATTAAAGTGGCCACAAATACCCATAGATATAGCATCTATTGAACTTGCAGTTTACATTCAACTCTCACGTCAGGACTTTTGATGCTCCGATGTAGCAGTGGGAGAATGCTGCAGTGCAGAATCGTTTGGATGGGACATTAAACCGAGGACATATCTGCTTGTTCAGGTGGACTTGAAGATTCTATTACACTACAGTATTAAAAAAAAAGGTCATTCAGTTCAACTTATTCAATTCAATGATTGTGTTTGGGACCTGCTGCATTTGCCTGCTATCAGTGCGCTAAAAGCAATTCCCCAGGAATATTTTGAGAAATTTCAACATTATAGCTCGGCATTATATCAAAAGGATTATAATTATAATTTTGCTTTATAATATCGAAACATCTTGGAAGTGTGACATATTGTTATGTGTAGTGGCTATTTTGGTGGAGAGTATTTCCTCAGTTTCACTTCAGACTAGCTTTTCTACTTCCCAGCAATTATTTCTTCCACTTGAAGGCAGCACTTTGTTCACACAAACAATTTTGTAAATCAGTGTCATTACTGCTTAGATGCCACTGTAACTTCACACCAAAATTTCATACAGCTAAAAGTCTTTCTGGTTTATAACAGAATGCAAGAGGAAGAAATATATTCTTCAAAATAACTTGGAAATGGATGCATAGAAGAAACTGCATGTTAAATGGATACACATACATGGTTATTGTGAACCTAAGCTTTAAACACTTAATATTTTTTATGAACAATCTTATTGCATGTTTATTCCATATTGAAGACGTGCTGTTGTGAATACAACAAGAAACTGCATTTAAAGAGTGCCTTTCAAGTCTGGAGGACATCCCAAGGCCCGAGATAGTCAAGAGTTTGCATCCAAGCTGGGGTGTTGGATTCAGGAGGGTCGGGGACCTAGAAGAGTAGGGGGGGAAGAGGAAAATGATTGAAGGCACGGTCTAACACGATTAAGAGAGTATGACAGAGTTCTTACTGAATCTCTAAAAGTGGCCGCATTTAATAAATAATAATAATAATAATCCTTGCATTTGATATAGCGCTTGGGACGTCGGGAGGACGTCCCAAAGCGCTGCACAGAACACACTGTAAAGTGAATTGACTGTATATTTGTGGGCGAACGCGGCAGCCAATTGCGTACAGCAATATCCCACAAACAGTCGTAGATTGAAAATGACCAATTTATTATTGTTTTTGGTTTTGGAGGATTATTAGGCTCTGTGTGGAGTAAGGAAACTTGCCCAAGGTTTCGCCCTCTGCCTGGGATTGAACTCAGGTCTCTCGCTTGCAAAGCGAGTGCTCTAACCACTGAGCTACAGGACTCCACAAATCTTTTAATCTTTTTCCTTGTGCATTACAAGGAACTAAATACTGCACTTTGCAGAGAAGGCTCCATTTCTTGATGTCAGAGTTCTGCATCTGATTCCATGAAGTCTACTTCATTCCATAGTCGAGCTGATTTGACAGGGATTACTTTTCAAACGTTTGATTGGACTTGAAACAAATGTTACAGCACATCAGGTGCACCACACTGAAGGTTTTGCCCTCTCATTATTTGGCTGCCTGATGCTGGTCAACTTTAGACAGTCAATAACAGAAGAAAACTGTGGCAATACCGACATATTATATTACTGTATGATCTGTACTATTACCTCAAAATCAATACACTGTGGACAAAATGTGATAAAATTATAGGTTATAATGCTTTATTAAAGTGCTAGAAAATGTAGAATTGAGATTGACTGCAAGTTAAAAAATTAGCACAAAGTGACAAATGATTTCAGAATGAACAAGATAGTTACTTTTTAAAGGTTAAGGAAAAACATTGTGTTATGGAAATCCATGTTACAATTTCTCCATAGATCCAATCAACACACAATATATAAATACACTTGCACAGGATTATACATGCTAATTATTGTCCAAGGTCATATGCAGAACCTCATCCATTTTAATGTAAATGTTTAAATTAAGCTTTGATTATTTGCCAAATAGGAAATGGTGGTGTAAACAATATTAAAAAGAATCAAAGTAAGAAGTGGCAAAACATTGCCAATTTCTTCTTCTTGCATATACTGATCTTTCAACTATCAATGTACTTTGCTTGCAAACAGCATATTAGTTGTATCTGGGAATAATTACATCAATTTTGAAGGGAAACAGAACTATTCTGGATTCAGAACTGGCATAAAAATAATCTTCAGCTGATTCCACATTTGTCAATCCAATGTCCAGCATTTCTATTTGTGAAACACAAAATATAAAACATTGTGCGAGCTTTCAAGCACTCATTGCACGTGTATTTTAAATATTATAAAAGATGATCACAAATTTTCAAATAAACAACAATTTCTAAATTGGCAACTTTGAAGGTCAGCCTTGCACTATCAACTTTTAATATCTGTGATCACTTGCTTATCTGTTAAAAGTTATTGCGATTTGTTACAGCAATCCCTTTGCTGCCAGTCTAACTTTTTAAATCATTATTGTTCGACCGCGTCAAATTAAACTCTGTAAAATTGGAAATGGATGGATACATTGAAAACCAAAGCATGGATACTCACAACTTAATAGCAAAGTCCTGTAGTGGTGTACAGATACAGGACATTAAAAATAGAGCAATACAATTGCGTTTATTATTGGACAGCTCTCAAAATTAAACAACACTAAACATTCCAACAAGTTTGTGACAGTTTCTAAACGTGAAAATATGTTAACAATATCAATGTGTTAGTATTTATGGCCGATATTTCCAAAGGTTTTATAGTACAATCTAGTGTTACCAATATAACTGTGCAACAATGTGATAAGTTTTCTAACTACATCATGCAGAAAAGAGCTGTATATCGTGAAAGATAATTGAATATGTCACGTTAGGACAATGAAATGAATGTTGTCTCCACTACATGATATAACGTACAATGCATCTCAATAATTGCAATTGGAAATGTTCAAATCTGGTCACTTAGAAAGGGCTTTTTTTTTAATATAAAGATAGGAGTTTCATGTCTGCCGGCGCCTTTGTCGAACTCGCTGCCTAATCCGTCTAAATGGCAGGTTGATCGGCTGCTTGCCAAACTTTTCCATTATCTCTCTAATTCTTGCCAGATTAGTTCTGGCCAAAATAAAATTACATGGCGTGGCTCCCATGTCGTATCCCACCTCACAGTTCCTTGTGGCGCTTGAGTAGCCTTCAGCCTTGGCGGTAACTCTGTACTCGCCAGGGTTCAAGAGGCGCCAGTAGTCGCCGTCAATCGCTGCAAAATAAACAACATCCACAGAATCAATAGCTTTGGCCATTTCATACACAAACATCTGCATTGCGAAACACCTTCCTTGCTACTCCCAAAGAGAACACGGGTGCAGATTGGCATAGGCCAGAGTTTAAATTCCCCAAAATGATGGGATTTAACTGGTAAATAATAATAATCCTTGCATTTGATACGTGATACGTCTGATCACATCTTCTAGACGTCTCAAAGCGCTTCACAGAATATGCTGTAAAGTGAATTGACTGTGTATATTGGGGGCGAAACCCGGCAGCCAATTGCGCAAACAGTCATGGATTGAAAAGGTAAAGCTTTGTAAGCTTTTTATAGGGAACACGGGTGGGTTTCCCACGTTTGTCCACCTAAGACTAAGGCTAAAAATTCAGAGAGCACAAAGTCAACCAAGTGTTGGGCTTACTCCCTTTGTGCTCCATTCAAAGATTTCAAGGTTAATAGTATTAAAGAGCCACTTGCACAGCAGACACTTCTATAGCATTAAAAATCAAACAGCCAACTTTCCAATCCAGGTCACTATACTCTGGGGAGCAAAGTGGCATCTCTGCCAACAGTTTAATTACATTGATTTGTGGATGAGGAGAGTTCTGCAGTTGCACTACTGGGCACCTCCGGTGGCATATGTTCGATTTGTAATATTATCAGAATGTCAGATGCACAAGTGACATTTTAATGATATTACAACTTGATCCCACTATTCCACCCAAGTACATTTAAGCATTCACTTCTGACTGGAGTTCTCATTCTATACACACATGCCAGCATTTTACACTGCAGCGATGTGAATTGCTGTGCCGCAAAGCTATACCTCAAGGTACTCTCAACAGCCATGCTTTATATACTCTCTGTTAAAAACATTGTCCAAAAACATTAAAAAGCTAGATCAAAGAACTTAAACAAGTCCAGTAAGCTCTAGAGCTGAAAAACATTTATAACTGCTAATTGGATGAGGTTCCTCTTTGCCATTTTTGTTGCTCATTATTACAGGCAGTTATTATTTTGCAAAGTTTCTGAAATTTCACTTTACTCTATTTGCTGATGCATTTATCATCTCACCTTTATCGGTTTCACGTGCAATCTCCACTGTCAGGTTATCAAGGTTACTGTAAATCTTCCACAAGGATGTTATTACACTAAGAAATGCTGACCTTATATTTTTACTCCTCTATATACTGATGCTCAGATTGGTGAGTGCCTCATCTCTTCCCAATATATTGTTAGATTTGCAAGTCAAAAAGTTTCAATTCCTTACTGCAAATAGTAATATGAGATTGACCGCATTCAATTTAACTTCATCAATAAAAGATCCATTTTTCTCACCTGTTGTAACATCATGATTTATGCCTTCGACGGATATCTCTGCATTTGCAATTCCTCTTCCTTGTGTGTCTTGTACAATCCCTTTGATACCCCTCTGAGCCTGATCAAGGTTAACAAAAACAGGGTGAGACTGGACAGTGCAAATGCAAAACTATGCTATTCGCAATGTAATATAGGAGAAGCACTAAAAGGTTCATGATCCATGTAAATTACCAACTGGAAAGATATGGATACCTCAGAAGGAATGGTTCCTAAACTATTTGTGGCCTTAGGGCTTACAGGTTCAAACCAGACGCGTTAACAAGTTCCAGAAACATACAAATTACAGCACAGAAGGAGGCCATCTGGATAATATTGGTGCCAGACCCTTTACTGGAGCCAGTTACTCTAATCCCAATTCCCTATTGTTTCCCCAAATCCTTTCATACGATTTCTCTGCAAATACTTATCTAATTCCCTTTAAAATGTTGGCTTCAATGATCACTTGTGGCAAAGCATCCATGTTCTGATATAACCTTCTGCATGAATACATTTCCTCTGACTGTTCCTGTAATTCTAGTGATAATCCTGAGCTTTGTCCCTGGGTTACCAATTTACCAACCAGCAGGAATAATCAATCGTACACTCACTTATTCTCTAAAGAAAAGTTAAGCTGCTCAGAATATTTCACAGAGATGGAGTGGGAGCCCGAGCAGCATAGGTGATGGATGAGGGGGATGGGGATTAGCTGGGAAATTATATTTTATTCCAAACGTAAATTTGTATTGGAGCACCAATGAACATCTCGACTTCCTAATTAAATACAATACAAAATTACATTTGTATAGTGCTTTTCAGTCGGGAGGATGTCCCAAGGCCCTGGACAGTTAGGGATTTGGACCCGAGCAGGGGGTTGGGATCAGGAAGGGTGGAGAGCAGGGAGGGTAGAGGTAGGAGGGTGGCTAAAGGCGCAGTCGAAGAGGAGGGTCTTGAGACATGTCTCGAAGGAGGCAAGGAAGGGAGCAAGGCAAAGGGACTACGGGATGGAGTTCCGAAGGGTAGAAGTATCACAAAATCACAACTCTTTTGCTGCATAATCAAACCTAGTTTCTGGTTGAGACAAGAACCAAGTGGAATACGAATCTCAACATTTCCCTGGTTTAATTTCCAAAGCATTAAGGGGTCATTCTGATGCACAGCTCGACAGATTTCCTGAACAAACCATGAATTCAGCTTTTTCCTGAACAGTTTCTGGTTAATCATTATAATGGCCGAAAGGCTTTCAGGCATGATAGGCTTCAGCTTTCCCGCCATGAAAACCACAGAATAATTGCAGACTCGAAGCTTGAATTAAGTGTTGCTCCTTATCTGTAAATAGAGTCTTCTGAGCATCATTAACTCCAATTGAGTTCTGCTTCGTGTTCCTTGCCATGAGCTGCAGCTGAGTCACACAGGAATCACTAATTTAGGTATACAAGCCACTATTTATCTGACTGTAATTCAAACATAGAGACCAATCATTCAAAGTTTCGCAACACTCAAGTGGAGGGATCAGTGATGTGGCGTAATCAGAATGTTTAAATTTGCTCCTCAACAGAATCAACCAGGGGAAGCGGGGTGACAATCTTCCATAATAGAACATAATAGAAATTGTGAAGTTTCTTCAAAGATTCCCTTAACTGATGAGATGCAACGTTGAACGTTCTCGGAATCATCACATTTTTTTTACCTCTTATATCTTACGCAGCGAAGGCAGCATTATTCTTGATAATAATAATGATCCTCGCATTTGATATGGCACCTTAATATGTCTTTCAGACGTCTCAAAACGCTTCACAGAATATACTGTAAAGTGAATTGGCTGTATATTTTGTGAGCGAAATAAGTTTATATCAGAGTATAGCTATAATGATGAGAAGTGCATCATCCTATCCACTGTATGTAAACATACTAATTCATATACAGGACACGAGTATGCAAGATAAAGTAATGTGTGTTTATAACCTGATGAACTATAGTCCTTGAAGGTATTATAAGGAATTACTTATCACTTAAGGGATTACCTTCTGGACCACCCATCATGGTGTAGGAGTGGGGACATTTAAGACCTGGTTCCGTCTGTGACATTATTTACAAATTGTACAATACTGTACAAAGTGTAATTTACACCCCAGTTATACAGTGATTTGCCATTGGAGAATCCAGTTTCAGTCAGGTACTATGTTAATGTGATTCATACTAAAGACCACTGGAGCTGAGACGACTTTAAGAAGCATCAAAGTACAAATGTAAGCAATGCAAATTAAGTCAGCTCCTTCACTGATGTGCAACTGAACATGTTAAACTCAGGGCTGTCAGTCAAGGATGAAGGCAATTGGGAGCGGAAAGTGTAAATCGTTCTTTACTATCAGTTCCAGCAATATAAACCAGGCAATGGAGGCAAAAAGGATTAACAACGCACTGGTTTGGATCCCAGAAACCCTGAAATTCGACCTATTCTTAACCTGTAAAACCATCTATTTGAGACATCATCCCAACGTGAAAGATGCTACATCAAATATATTATGTTTTACGATGGTGCTGATAGTCCAGAGTTGTGGAAAATACTAAAACCCAGTCTTAATTCAGAAGTTGTTTCAGTCTTAATTTTGAAGCTGTTTTTTGCAGTTCTTAAAATACAGCTTCCAAATTATGGCTGAATTGAAGAACTTTCTACAAGTCTTTGAGATCTTAAAGTTAAGACCAAATTGGCTTATAATAAACAATAATAATCTTTGCATTTGCTATAGCACGCTTATCATGTCTTCGAGACGGCTCAAAACACTTCACAGGATGCACTGTAAAGTGAATTGACTGTATAATTTGTGGGCAAATCGCAGCAGCCAATTGTACACAGCAGTGTCCCACAAACAGTCATGGATTGAGGCCCCAAATTATTTTTTTTTTTAAGGGAGACTAAGACAGGGTGACATTTCAGGCTGAAATTCATGAAAGTTCCCTTCCCCTTTAAATTGCTCTAAACTTATGAAACAGTGATAAGTGTCAAGGTAGAAAAGTATGGCTTGCATTTTTATTATTCCACAGGGGAAGTATTCAACAGGAAAGTCCCCAGCCATATTGACTGCCAAGACTTTTATTCTCACGCTTTTGATTTTGCTGGAGACAAGGAATAGTCTGAAAGCAATGGTTTATTGATCTGGCACATTCACCTTGTTTCTTTGCAACCTTGCCATAAATCATATCTTTTCCTGTGAGGTCTGATCCTGCACAAAAAGACTGGTACAAACCTCCACTCTTAGTCAGTTACACAAGTTATTGCTTAAATATGTCAATCTCTTCAGTAGGCATTAGTCGATGAATACCAATATGAAAATTGCAGACTTGTGTTTCTGGACAGGGAGGATTTTTGTGCTCATCCAGACAAGTGGCATTAATGGTAGAATGTCAATTGATCTCAGTTAACCGGTATCAGTTTCAAGAAGCCCTGAGTCAGGTATACTACAGGCAGCGGCAGAAAAGAGCTCGTTAAATGCAAAATAAAGAAGAATGCTTGCAATATCCTGCACAGCTGAGAAGGAACATCAAAAGTCAGATCAGACCTGGTGTTGGGGCATGTGACGAAGGGCACAATTTCAAAGTAACACCGCAAGGGGTGAGATAAGTGAATGCAAAAAGATTAAAAAAAGGGAAAAAAATTAATCAAAATCATATCATAATATTAATAACAACCCTTATCCTTATAAGGTATACTGTAAAGTGGAATGACTGTGGATATCATGGGTGCATTTGCCCAGTCAAATTAAAATGATTCATACAGCATTTAATGATAGTTTCAATAAGATCTAAAGGGACTTATTGTTGCAGTCCTCTTGTGGTATTGTGTTTCTAAATCAGAATGGCAACAGTTGTAAATCAGAATGGCAACAGAATCCTCCACTTGGATGAAGCTTAACAAACTGACAGATAATTCAAATAAAAACTTACTTCAAATGTGAGAGAATTCTCTTTTTGAAGTATCCAAAGATACCTATTCATCTTTTATTTCACACTGCGTCTAATTCATCCAAAGCCGTAATAGCATTGTGGGTTCAAAGGGACGGGCTTCAGAAAGTGGTCTAATGTAACAAGTCTAAGGATAGTCTGGCACTTTCTTCTAATTTGCTATGAACTCGTGCAGCATTCATCTCACAACCTTGAGTAACCAGTCCCTCTCTAGGAGTTATATAGGAACAGGAGTATGCCATTGAACCCTTCAAGCCAGTTCCGCCATTCTATTAGATCATGCCTGATCTATACCTCCACTCCAATTACTCGGCTTTGTCGCATATCCCTTGATATCCGTATCTTAATGTAGAGTTACACGTAGAGAGGATAATTTCCACAGAATGAATATTCTCTCGGCACATACCTGCTCCATAAAGACAAGGAGAGATTCTCGGTTGTTTTCCCACTGCTCTGGGAGTTCACTTTCATGGGGGAATTTATCACAGCCCACGTGCATAGATATTTCCAAGCAGTTTGTGTGCAGATAGCTGAAATCATTCATACCTTAAAATAATAAAATTCTTATTAAAAATCTGTCAAATTATTCTAGTCTTCTCAAATAAAATAATTATTGCTTATTCTTCATTTAGTTACCAACCTAAGGATCTTTTGCAATTATATATTACTATTTCACAATGCTAATATTAACACTGAAGCTGAAAAAATAGAAGCTGAAATTATGACAAGCATCTATAAGGCAATTTAGTCATTCTTCCGTCTCTGCCTTTTACTTTATGTTGACTATAAAATGACCTGCAAAAAAATAAGAGAACATTGCTCCCACCTTTTGAAACACGTATTGAGAGCTGGAAGAAAGAAGATGAAAGATAAGAGACAAATTTTAAAGATAAAAGTAATTAGGAGAAGAGGTTACTATAGAGGTAGACCGACCAGTAGGAAGAAAAAAGGTTCAGATAGAAATAAGACAAAGGATGGATAGGGAAAAGAGAAGAGAAAAAGGGACCACAGGATGTGCACAAGCAAACAATTTTAAATGTTTTGTTATATCCCAAATTGTGCTTTTGGCATTTACCTTAGTTAAATTCATAATAATCTTTGCATTTGATATAGAGCCAATAATCTTAAAACATCTCAAAAGAGCTCCATAGGTAATTGCTGTCAAGTAAAGCAACTGTATATTTGGAGGAAAACGTGACAGGCATTCTAACCCACAACAAGTCCCACAAACAGCAATGACATGAATTATCAAATCATTCTAGATTCTAGAGTATTGTTGTCCAGATCAGCTGGAAAAAAGCTGCCTTCTTGTTTCAAATATCAGAAAGCTTTTTTGTTACTTAGAGAATAATTAATGAAACATTGTCAGGATGAATGAGCCAGGACATTGGACTCATTTAAGAAACAGTTTGATGCTATAATGGTGGGTATTCTGGAAAGATGAGATCTATCCTTTATCCAATGCAATCTTGTGATCTTCAGATCTTTAAATCCCCCCCTAAATAGATTTATTTAATGTCTCATCCTAAGGATGGTACCTCTGACAATGCTGCACCCCCACCCCCAACACTTTTTTTATACTGTGTATTAATTATTCTAATACTAGTTATTTTAATAGTTTTTTTTAGTAATGATTTTTGAGGAGTTTTGTTACTGCAATATTGATCTTTTCTGAATGTCACAGAACAGGAGCTGAAAGTGTATAGAAACAATCAGCTCACAATCAGCTCTTCAGTTAATAGCCTCGAGCAAATGATTACTTTCTTTGTGTTTCACTCTTTTCTTTACTTTCCTCTCTCCTATCTTCAAGGGAGTCAACATTTGGATGTCTTATAAATGTATTAGTTGGAAACCCTTGATCCTGCTAAACATTATTACAATATAAAGACTTGTTGCACTTCTTTGGGACAGTTCTGAACATAAAAACACGGTGTGGGAGACAACATAGGGAGCAGGGGTCAGTGCAATCTGGGGTTTGTGGAGAGTGAGTCAGAGAGGCAAAGTGAGTAGGGTGTTAGGACATTCAATCTGGAGGTATGGATAAGGGGTTCTGGTGATACTGCAAAGACAATTGGTCGCACCACTGTCCCATATACAGTTATGTTTCATACACACTTACTTCCTGCGACCGTGTGCCACGATGCTCCATTTATAGTCCCATCATCCTTACTGAAATCATCCGTGTGGCACACTCTTCGATTTGCATCCGTCATCAGACGGTGAGTGGAAGCATAGGAGAATGCAAGCCAACGGAAGACATGGTCATCCGGTGTCGCTGTGTACTCGTGGACCTTTGTGCTGGACCTCGCCATGTCGTACGGATAAGTTACCACCAATTCACCTCCTTGTATATTTCCACCCAACACAAATGGGAACTTCTCCATCCAAGCGATCACTGCTCGTGTCTCGACCGCTACCTGCGAACAAATTCAAGTTGGAGCCCCAAGCAATTTTCATTCCAATATTATTCTCAATTACATATGAAAAAAGAAATATATTTCTCACTGAATATAGTTTGACAATGCCATAATATTTAACTGCATTGGACAAAGGGCTTCCAAATCCTTATGCAAGTTAAAGTCTACTCCCACACACACACAACCTCCATTTGTATTAATTTGATGTGTAAGTCTGGTCTCTTGCTGTGAGTAAGCTCTCAGTGAACTTGCTCAGATATGAAATAGATATGTATAAGAGTCTATTTTCAGCCCAGCAAATTTGAAAGTTGTGCTTCCCAGCTCAGGCATAGCGGTCAGGTCTGTGGAGGCAGAATAGAAAAGGCAGGCTTAGATTTTAAATGCAAAATAAGAAAAAATTGTATCCAGCCCTGAACAGATGAGGTCGAGTAATTTTATTGCTTAAGTAGAGATCTCGATATTCAGCTAGAAAAGGACTGAAATGAAAGACGTTTGTTATTTAACCAGGTTTACGGATCACTGGTGAAAAACAAGATATATTTAATCTGCCCTATAAAATATAGGGAAATAAATATCACTTTATCATACTTTCACTGTGCAGATCCATTACTCATAGAAAGAATGAAAGCAAATAGAGATGGGAGATGGGATTAAAAGAGGTACAGGTTCATATGGAGAATAAATACCAATAGAAACTAGTTGAGTTGAATGCCCTTGATGCTGTGGCATTCTATGTTGTTCTGCTTATTAGTTTGATGGGTTATGCGTTATTTGAACAAAAAAGCATTTTGCTGCATCTCTGTCATGGAACCTTTGTAACAAGCCTAGAAATAGTCAGAAGTCTGGTACTCTAAGGGCATAATATAAAGAATTCTATCTCTATGATACCCAGTAGGATCAATGTGAAGTATGACTAACATGAAGCCTAACCTATTTACAGCTAACTAGACATTCATCTCATATGATCACAAGATTGGGTCTGGATGAAGAAGGCTTTTTGGTCCATCCAATTCCATCCCTCAAGAGGTCCCACTCCACCATCCACCCATCACAGCTATTATCTCCAGCTGCTATGCTATGCACAGGCTGCTATAACACGATCTTCGATATCTGACTGTATAATTAATCCCTGCATGTAGAATATTAATTATTGATTTTGCTCTCTTTGTATACGATTGCCAACTCACAGTGGCGTTTTCAAACAGGTACCATTCAGGAATGGGGATGTGATGATTTTTTTCTTTCTTGGATGCTCTCTTGCGATCCTCGGCCTCCCAAAGAATAGAATTAAGATCAGGAAAATTGTGATTGATATCAATGCCATCATGAGTCCACCGTCCTAGAGACCAGCCTGCTAACTCTGAACCCTAGAAGAAGTCCAAATCAAGAACACAATCATATTAATCTCCCCAACCAGGAGTACTGCATATCTCATCAATACTGTCATTTAAAGTAAAGTACATTGTCTTCAGGACCCACATACACATTGATGGGGAGGACAAGTTTCCAGGGCTATGGAGAGAGAGCGGGGGTATAGGATTGAATTGGACAGCTCCTTTCAAAGAGCCCGCACAGACACGATGGGTCAAATGACCTCCTTCTGTGCTGTATAATTCTATGATTCTATGTATTCCCAAAATGTGAATAGGATTTGTTTTGAACTACTCAAAACATTTAAAGTAGGAAAGGTCAACTGAAGTTTTAATTTTGAAGTACTACACTGCTTTAGTAGATTAATAATAATTAGGGGTAATAATGATAATTTGGTCACTCAATTTCACGACTGTTTGTGGGACACTGCTGTGCGCATTGGCTGCCGCAGTCACTACATTTTACCCTATATTCTGTGAAGCGCTTTGAGATGTCTCAATGACGTGATAAGGCAAATGCAAGGATTATTATTTTATTATTATTAATTTGCGCTTTCAACAACAAGATAAAAAAGGCAAACCAAAAGCTTTAAAAATAGACTGTTGTTTAAAGGAAGCAATTTTTCAACGATATTTAGTTCGCTTAAATGTCTGGAGGGAGTGAAAGAAACTGCGGAGGTCTAATGAAGAAATTACCACTTCAAAAGCTCTTTCGTAACCATCGGGGTTTACTGAAGGCATTAGGTGGATCCTGGTCTCCTCCACAAGGTGTTTGATCCTTGGATTTCCTGCGAGGTATTCCTGACACATGAACTGCATCAGCAGAAGAAGCAGCTCGCGACCAAGTACCTCATTTCCATGAGCCCCAGCAGAGTAATGGAATTCAGGCTCACCTGATTCAAACCAGAAACAAACATTATATCGAACCAGATGTAAGCCAGAGGCACGTCACTTGTCGCATATCATTTAAGTCCACTACTTCACAATCTTTAATATTTAACATTCCCCCCACACCCTCCGCGCCACCATTGGTGGCCATGCCTTCAACCATAAACTCCTCAACTCTGCAACTCCCTTCCTCTACCTCTCCAGCCTCCACCCCTCTCTATCTATTTTTAAATTCCACTGTAGAACTTGTTTCTTACATTGCGCCCATAGACACCTCCTTTGATGGTTAAATGGAGACATTTAACTGCAGATTGCAGAGCAACAGGTTGATTTGATGAACAGGGATAGCAATATTTCACATAAAACATGATTATAGAATTAATGTGCAAGTAGGAAGACCATATCTAGCTAAGACTATAAGGCGATTGCAGAGAACTGTTCAGTTTAGATTGTTTTTGAAGTACCTATTTGTGTATTATTCAAGGAATAGTGCTTGTTAATCACTACACAATCATGGCCTGATACTGAACAAGACATATAACATTATGGATGTGCACAGTGCAGAACTTGTTTTTAATGCAAATGCAACTTGGATTTAAATGTGTAATTTGGGTTGGAAGACAATCTATACTATTTATCAACATAGGGTTAGGTTTAAACTGTAAATTGTTAAAAGAAATATGGAAAATCAATGGAATTCTCAGAAAGTAATTGGAAGAACGAGGAATAAACTCAAATTGGATTGGAACGTGAATCTTACCAACTTCATGCACTCCTGGGTTGTCGGAGATCTCAATGGTGTACAGCTTCAGTCCCTGGTAGCTTTTCCCGATGTTGTAAATTCTAGTGATGTTTGGACACTGTTCATTGACTATCTTCATCAACTATTCAACAAAAGGTACAAATCAATTAGAAGCTCTATGCGAATTGAAAGCAGAATTGAAAGTGTTAGCACCTTCATTTTCCAGTTGAATGTCTTTCCTTCAAGCTCCCCAAACGCTCATTTAGGTATTTTCTAAAGCAACATACACCCAAGGACGACTGAATACACAAACCTTCGCAAGTTTAGACTGGTGAGCACTGAACAATCATTAGTCCCTTCGTCAATCATTAGTCAACTGAAATCCGTGCTAAACTGCGATTTTCATGCTTAATCAACTGAATAAATTGTTTTGTCTTCAATTGTGGAAATTTGTGTTTCAGAATCGTCAGCATCAATACACCAGTTTCAGAGTTAATGATGCACAATTATACCACATGTCGGGTTGCAATCTCCTGAGAGATGTTCTGAAATATAATGAAATAATGCTATCTTACATACATATACAGGAACCACAGTGGTGTAAGGAATTTAACCTCCTCACCTGTCAATTTTGATTGTGCAGCAAATAATGAGCCATACAAACATTTATCATCAAATGCCTCCATTGTATTTCATTCATAGAATACAAATAACAAGTACAAATACATCAAAGGCGCAGTTTGTAAAGCTAATATCATTCACTGATCTGAAAGCATAAACACTCGACTTAAGAATATAATTATGTAACACGTGTCCTAAATACGAGCAGCCCTAGAACTCTTTCATATCCTTCCTTGGCAAATTCTATCCCATCCATGGACTTGCATGTGCTTCCTATTACTATTTCACTGTCGACCGGATGCTCTAGATTGCTTTTCCAGACCTACACTGGTCAAAAACTCGATAATAGATAGTGAACAGTTTAATTTAAGGTTAAGTTATGCTACTTGGTGACTGACTACACATGAATTGAATCACTGACCACAGCAAGTTTTGTAAAACACTGCAATTAATCAGGTGTGCCATGTACACTCTCTTCTTAACCAGGCGACAGTCAGTTTGAACTTTTCATGTGGCAAAAATGCTGTGATAAGTGGATACTGAATGTTCAACTGATAAAGCAAATCTCTCACAGCCACTGATGAGTCTATAAATCATCGAAGATTTTCCTACATTTGAACCCCAGAAACAAGCTGATTAATGTGTGGAACTTGAACTTTACAGTACAATAAAGTACACAACAATACCTCTCTTTAGTGCTTCAAGAAGCACTGAAAGAGTTTTACCAGTAAGCCTTGTTCTCAGCTGGTGAGCATTTTGTGGTGCAGAGGCTTCTAAAAGATGAGATAATGGAGAGGAAAGCATCACAGAAATCACTGCATCCCACTGAGCATTTGTACAGCTCAGTCTGCACATAACCCTTTATCCTCCAATACTATTCTCAAGCATATACATATTCAGTTTTTAAGCGTCTTCCTCTTTATTAAAGGTTATACTCCTACCTGCCTCATTTCTTTGTAGGTGTGATGCCTGAAATCTAGATTGTCTGTTGTTGTGACTTCATTTCGTCTGTGGTAATAGTTATTAGGATCTGAAAGGTTAAAAAGAAAGGGAATTTAGATTGCAGATAGCTAAGCCAAGAAATGATGCTTGTTATGACACCAGGCTCAAGGATTTGTCAGGTTTTCCCCTAACCTGTGCGGGCACAGAAAATTGCATCTTCAGGATTATTTACCAAATAGTGCCCTAACTCCGACTGAGTTCCACCAGAAATCAGTGAGTAAGGTCAGAAGGACCTTTTTGGTGCTTAAAAATGATCATCACTAAACAGAAATCCAAAGGTCTTTTGAAATCGAATTTTACTGCTAACATCTTTCAGAATTGTGTGTATGCGTGTGTGGGTGGGAGGGATTTCTAAATGTATTTTAACCTAGTTCCTTGTGTTAGGAACTGCAGTTTGACTCCTGCATTTTACGGTTGCTACTTGAAATTAATACCCCCAAAAATTTACCGTTTTCTCTGTAGTGCTGTGATATCACATCCCCTCCAACAGCAATACAACAACAACAACTTGCATTTATATAGCGCCCTTCGTGCGGGGTAGTGTCCCGGAGCTTTTCAATGCAGCACTAGCCTCTATCTTAGAACACAGGAAATACTTGTACTGTACAGTGCTTAATTTCTCTCCATAGTTGTGGAAGGTGTACTGATCTGACCTCAGTAACTGGACAACTTGACTGGCTCTAGCTTGCACGTCATGTGTCTACCAATGGGTAGCCACAGGCCGTGTTCTCTTGAGAACTGCAAACAACTCCACTTCTCGACACAGAATGATGGAGAGTGATATTGCCCACCTGCGCCTCTTCTCAGGAGGGACTATAAACACAGCTGATCTCTCCTGCAAACAGGCAAGTGGTGGTGATGGATGCACTTGCTTTGCCGACTGGGATTCATCAATGCAGTTCAGCTGTACTTGTCACCCTCAGCAGATTTGGGTGTTCTGTAAGCTTGCGTTTCTTTCTAATGATTGCATTCTGTAACCATCCTGCACAAGTTCCAGAGAAATCCTTTCTCTTTGCCTAGGGCTGTGCAGTCAGGCAAGCAAGTTGGCTTGATGAGGACAGTCAGCCACAGCTCAATCTCTCCAGTATCACAGAGATCTAGCTAGGTTATTATCAGCCCTCTAAAAGGTTACGAGTGGAAAAGAAAAACACCACCAACAATTCTTACCTGGCATTGGGCAGCCCAAAATCTCCAATCGCATACAAATGTTGCCATTTTGGAACCAACTATAAGGCTTAATCCGTATATAGCGTGCAACCACAGGAGTAGTGAACTCATTGAGCACTGGGATCTCTTTCTCTTGATTCCCTTGAAAAATCTACAGAGAGCCAATAAATTACATAGAATTGTATAGACTGTACAACACCGAAATAAGTCATTTGGCTCAACTAGTCCATGCCAGTGATAATGTACTCCAAGTAAGTCTTCATCCATTTCAATCCCCTCTCTCTAGTTCTCTTCCAGACACCTCCCCCACCATTCACTTCTTCCTCAAGTATGCATCAGATCTCCTCTTGAATGAATAATCAATGTGCTTCCATAATAACTACGACAGGAATTTGTAACGTTGATCTTGTCTGGTTGCCTGTAGCACTGGGAGAAGCTAGTCTGAGCTGCTGAAGAGCAGTAGGAATTTGTAAAATTGCAAGTCCCATGATATGAACTTAACAACAACGTGAGTAAATGTTTCAGCAATGAAGAATAACTCCTATAGTTCCTCTACATCGATTTCTATTAATTGAAACAAACCTTTAGCGAAGGCAAACAATACGATGTGAATGGTACTTTACTTATTTGTGGTTGTGGCAGCTATTAATTGTCTAGACCTCTTCAGAAAGGACAGTTCATCCCTTATGCCCAGGGATAAACTACATCAATATCTAATTCACCCACAGTTGTTATCGACATCCCTATGCTATGTCAGGACAGTTTCTAGGAGAGCCTGATTGCCTTTGACATTTCATTGATGGTACCTACCCTTTTATGTATTAATAAAAACAAAATGCTTCACAAACAAATTGATAACAAAATGATTATATATAATGCTTACTTTCATTTGCTTATCTCCAATCACAGGATGTATTTGGGAACTTACCATTTCTTCAGTTCCATTTTTTATGGCAATCCAGGTGTGGCTGTCGTTGCTCAGCATAACACTGTAAGATGTCACCCAGTCACTTCTACGAAGTAGAAACATATGATGAACAGTTTTCCCATAGCACCTTTACCTGTCTTCTTTTGTTCAGTGATAGATATTTACCCAATACAGTATATGCGTAACGCAAAGAAATTTATTTTAGATAGAACTTAAAATATAATATATGAGAATCACCCTTAATAAAAAAACACTGGAAATTCAAATTGCTTCACAACCCCCATTAACTTACTGTCGTCTTTCCAAGGCACAGTTCAAGCTGAAGATAGAAATTCAATTAAACTGGATCTACCGTTTATGCTATCAATACTGTGTGTACACTCAGTGGACAAGAAGTAATAAATAGTAATAATCCTTGCATTTGATATAGCACCTTAACACATTATTGAGACGTCTCAAAACGGTTCACAGAATATACTGTAGAATGGATCGACTGTACTTTGTGGGCGAAAAGAAATGACACCATTGGTCACTTGATGACCAGGAATTGCAGACTAAGTCANTTTTTATGACTCATCTTGTTATAATGCAGGGTCTGAATCCAAATCACTGGGTTAAAATGGGATCAGCCTGGCTCATTGGAAAGTGCACTTAACACGACGGGAAACTAGCAACCAATTGTCCACATTTCAGATTGAGGTGATTTTAATGAGAATGCTTGCCACCTTGTTAAAAGAAATATTAAGTGCCGGCAGGAAGGTCGGGGATGGTTTTCTTCGGCAAAGGAATAAAGCTATATTTTGTGAGAATTACTTCCTGCCTCGGCCTCTTACTATATATATAGGTTCACTGATTCACTCGGAATCAATTCCATCCCTTCTAGCCAGTACATCAGATGAAATTCTGAATAACAAATGTAATAATAAATTGCTCTGTAGCATGTGCAATATAAAGTGCCCTTTTTCCTTCTGAATGAGAGCTAAGGTCAGAGCACATTGATCAAGGGGGGGCCTGCAATGAAGGGGCTCAAAGTTATGAGAAATAATGGGATTAGTTTACTAACATATTGCTCGATTATTTTGCAGTATTGGATAGAAAAGTCAGCCATTGTAATTGTAATTACTTTTCCTTCCCCTGCCATACCTGGTGGGTTCAATTCATTTTCACAATAGACTGCGATTTTGCATCTGTTCAAAAGCCAGGTCTAAGTTCAACTCTGAGCAACCATGACATAATTATTCGTGAACAAAGTGAAGTACGTGGCTCTGGCATCCTTAATTATTGTGCTGTGCCTACGAAACAACACTCAGATATATTGGTGCTATTCAGTGGAAACTATTTAAAACACGGACATCGCACATAAGCTTACCCACCAAGAAAGACATTGTTAATCAATTTAAACCAAAGCGTGACTGTCAGCTTGGAAGACTTGTTATAACTCATGTAAAAATTGTTGGAAAATTTTGGACGTGTTTCAAAAAAAAAAAAAATCAAAGGTTTTGAAAAATCTACTTCCACCAGCCCTTTGGTATATAACAGTGAGAATCCACTCTCACAATTTAGAGGTCGTAAGTTCAAGCTTGCCCAACACTCCCAGCTGCCACAAACCCTCAGTTGTTTTTTGTGCAATAATAGAGGCTGAATTTTGGAAGATAAGCAAGGAAGTAAATGGATATCTGTCCTGTGTCTGTCAAAACGAGGTACATGTGGACTGAACATTGGTAGCGTCATTACAAAAATCAATGTTCGGAATCATCTGGCGTTCAGCACCCTGTTTGGACGCAGTAGCCGGGTGGAAAAATAAAACACCACCACAATAAATTCTACTGAACCTTATTTAGGAAGCACAATAAAGTTGTTTCTGCATTAAACACTTAAGGGTTGAATAAAGTAGTGTTTCGGTACCATCAGAAAATGTGTTTTGAATATAAGTATTCAACCTAAAACTGTAGCTATCATCACAGACACCTTTTATACTTGTCTGACTGACTGAGTCACTGCGAAAATGCACAAATGTGTTTTAAGAATCATCTTGAATAATGGAACTGGCAGTGTCCCAGAATTCCAGCAAAATCTGAAATAACCTAAAAAAGTCAGTAGTTTAGCATTTTGTATTTTAAAATTTTGGAGGGGGCTTTAGCACTCTCTATATATAGTCAAGTGATGGCAATTTTGGAAGTGATTGCCTGCCATGTAATTCACATGAAATCACAACTTATTAATAACTGTATTCAAACATTCAAAGGGACCAGAAATATATCAGGGACAAGACTCTTCCGAGAGTCTGCATCCAGAATGGAATCATTTCAACAGGAAAAAGCCAACAATCATACAAGCCATGAAAGGCAATAAATTAACGGTAACATATGTCATAGTCCGCATGGCTCAGCTCATTACTTGACAACATCCTAAACCATTTTTGTAGCCCCTCTAGTTTCTTCTGTGGACAATATTTTTGCTTCATCTGCCCACTGTAGCAAATGGCACAATACGGTACAAATTGCTATGAATTACAACAGGAGTTCATGGTAAAGACTCTGTGTTAAAACTGGTGATTCCTTCCGATAACTGGAAATACGCCACGCAAAGCTATAGGAATTCTGATCTCCTTCCAGAACAGGATTCCTATCGGAATGACATACTTCCAGTTACTGGAAAGAATCGCCATTTGCTACTCTGAGCCATTAACAACAGGTTTCGCTGCGAACTGCCGCAAGTTCAACCCCAATCAACAACAGCCATTTGTTAGCTGTTAGAACTAAGAGACACTTGCTTATTTTACGTCCCTTCACCCACTCAGTCTGACATCAATTATAAGAAAATAATCCTTGCATTTGTCATTTACAACACTAACATACAACATTTCTAAATATACAAGAGATTATTAAAAAGTTACTAACCAAATTGTAATTTAGATTATTAAACAATGCACATTTCTACATCTTTATTTTGAAAAGTCAAAGATCTCCATTCTACATCGGGTTCAACTTCTCACCATCATTTTCCACAAGTTGGACAAGTTGCGAGTTCCAAAAGGTACCAGCCATTAAAACCTCCACCAAATAACTTCAAAACGTCATCAAAACAGTTCTGTGCAGACTTGAGCAATGTGCCACAACCTAAATCAAGTGTAGGACTAAATATGCACATCTGTTAAAAAGACACATTTCACAAATAAATGAATGAATATGTGGTGAGTGTGACTAAAATCCAGTTATTCTGGTAGATTTAGTGAACAGGTCGCTCGCTCTAGGTAGTTAGTTCCTGTTAAATGCCCTGATTCTATTTCTGTTACAGATTGTTGAATTGTTGCGAACAGGAAGGAGTGTGTGGTGCGTGGTGCAAAATGGAAGATCGTATTCTCGGGAGAGATTTTGTTCATTAACAGCTCATGAGAAACATATATTATATTTTGAAATCTTTCCATAAATAATTATTGTGACGCTTTCACAGGCTTGCTCAAAGTCTGGGGGGGGGGAGGGTGGGGAAGGGGCGCCACTGGTTGGAATACTAATGGTCATGAGTGCTGGGACAAGTGGTGAGAGATCAGCCACAGCCCAAGCACATCCCCAGACCGAGAAATAGAGAGGGGAGGGGAATTAAATGGGAGAGTCATCCACGACCACTGTTAATCATCTCCCAGTGGCTCGCTTAAGATTAGTAGCCAGGATACGGAACAGGATTCTGTCTCGTCAGTCAAGAGCAGGACATCTCTTCATCACAAGGCCTTAATAAAAAAATTATATTTTAACAATAAATTCTTAACTGTCCGACTGGAAAGTTTCAATAGTGAGACTGGAGCACTGAAAGGCTTTAAAATAAAAAGAAAGTTTTGATTGCTCAAAACTTTAAAGCAAAGGCACACTTCGCTTTGATGGCAAGTGAGCTTATGATGAGAGGCAACAAAATCCCTGGTTAGCTTCCAACTTGTCATGAGCAACCAAGACACGTTTGACACAATCAGTGCCTTTGAACGCAGCTTCTCCTAACCTCAAGAGAGCACTAAAGCCATATTCCATCTGTCATGATGAACCAACTAATAAGGCTAAGGAGTATCATCCAGAATTTATTGTTGTCACTGAATGATGTCCACTTGGTCAGGGAAATATTAACTATGGCTGGGAGCTCATCGATTTCTGTGGGTTGATGGATGACTCACAACAGGGATCAATCTGTCACTTAGTAGGCAACACACTGCCCCTGCTCTTGTTGAAGTCCCTAGGTGAGAGTTTAATTCATTCTTTTTGAAGGACATTATGTTAACCTCTTGATGGGAGCAATTTAGATGTTCACTGGTAGCATAGCCAAGCTTGCTTTGGTGTAAAACACAGAACCACTCTGATTGACAGGCAAGATCCAACTGTTATCTAATGTGAACGAACAGTTCAATAAGTCAGGAATGAAAACTTGTAACATTAGGTTTTAATGAAACTGATCTGTCAGCTCTCAGTACGTGGAATCATTTGTTAATCTTGGCTTAAAGCTAGCTGAGAGAGGAGCAAAGTTTGATTGATTAATAGTTTCTTGTTTTGGGTGACTGATGCAGAGCCCTAATTATTAAAATATTGGCATAAAGCTATCAGAAGGTGACAAAAACGTTCAGTTTGATTATTGCAGTAATGCGCTTCCTGCAGAAAGTGACAGTGACACGTTTTAACAGTCGCACTCATGGAAGAAATTGCCAACCATTCGTATGCTTAAACGATATCCGAGTTGTTCGGATCTGGAATACATTGCCTGAAAGGATGGTGGAAGCCGATTCGAAAACAACTTTTACGAGAGAAGTTGATAACTATTTGGGGAGGACAAGTTTGCAGGGCTATGGGGAGAGAGCGGGGGAGTGGGATTGATTTGGATAGATCTTTTAAAAAATTCAGCACTGACACGATGGGCCAAACGGCCTCCTTCGGTCCTGTATAATTTTATGATTCTACAATTCTATGAACATGCATCTTATAGAAAGAGTCATACAAATACTGCAGTTAATAATGTGATGATTATCACATTGATTAAAAAAAGCTCTTGACCTGCACCCAGAGTAACATCCACTGACAGTCACTACACTTTACAGTATATCCCGTGAAGCTGTTTGAACATCCTCCCGACATGAAAGGCGCTATATCAAATGCAAGGATTATTATTATTATGTAATCAGAAAGTGACCATTGCTCAGTCATTGAAGCATTAGTGGATCCCAGGAGAGAGGTTTATAGGCTAAACTGTTCCACACTACTGGCTGAATGAGGAGTGGAGGGAACCAGGATTTATGGAAATGGAAGATTATGTGTTACAGATACTGAAAGAACTCTGTGCAAGTTGACTGACTCGTTTGTCTAAAAGTACAATCACTATTCTTGACAATAAATACCATGAAGCACTTTGAGATGTTCAAGGACATGATAAGTGATATTAATCAAAAATAAATAATATTATCTAACATTGAAGCTCTATTGTGACTTCCATTTATGAATATTCGAAAGCTTAGCTTGATGATGATTTCTGAAAGCTGTGAAAATACAACGAAAAAAACCCAGAGATCAAAATAAAGATTGTTTTGCCAGGTGAAACGTGCTACACGTTGAGCCGAAGAGCTTTGACTCATCCTTGCATGTTTACTGGAGTTGGCTGGAAAAGAAACAATTTCTATTTGAAAATGCTTTAACAAATCAATGAATTAATTATTCTCTGAAGAAGGTTCACTGAATCACTGAATAATCTAGAGGGAAAGCAAAACACCCTCCTGCTGGAGATATCTAATGAATTGGCTGACTTTTTCAAATGAACTCATGAGTCATTCATCTTGCGGTAATTTTAATTAGCACCTGCGCCATTGATTGTTCAGATCAAGATTAAATGAAACGGATACATCTCGCTCACATATTCCCCTAACATTCCACTTATCATCATAGAATCATACAGCACTGAAGGAGGCCATACGGCTGATTGTGTCGGTGCCAGTACTTTGAAAAGAGCTATCCAATTCAATCCCACTCCCCCGAGCTCTCCCCATAGCCCTGCAAACTTGTCCTCCCCAAATAATTACCTTAGCGTCAGAAGATTTCAACAGTCAGTTCACAAACGCAACAGAAGGAAAAAATGAAAGGCAGCCACATTTCAAAGATAAAACGTTCACAAATGCTTCTGGTTTTAGTTAGTGTGTGTTACAGTTATCACCTGTGACAAACGTTCATTACATGTTGATCATGTCCTCCATTCAGTTGTACAGTGGTGATCAGGGTGAAGGCAACTGATCTTTCTTTTCAAAAGATATTTAATAATAATAATAATCCTTGCATTTGATATAGCGCTTTTCACGTCGGGAGGACGTCCCAAAGCGCTTCACAGAACACACTGTAAAGTGAATTGACTGTATATTTGTGGGCGAACGCAGCAGCCAATTGCGCACAGCAATGTCCCACAAACAGTCGTAGATTGAAAATGACCAATTTATTATTGTTTTGTTTTGGAGGGACTATTATTAGGCTCTGTGTGGAGTAAGGAAACTTGCCCAAGGTTTCGCCCTCTGCCTGGAATTGAACTCAGGTCTCTCACTTGCAAAGCGAGTGCTCTAACTACTGAGCTACAGGACTCCACAGCTACAGGAAAGTTTTTTATTTCGCTTAAAAACCTTTCCTTATCATTTGTACATTGATACAATGTCCCTCACCAGCACCGCTTTCTTCCACCTCCTACGCATCGCCCGTCTCCGCCAATACCTCTCCCTAAAAGCCGCTGAAACTCTAGTCCATGCCTTTGTCACCTCTCGGCTGGACTACTCTAACGCCCTCCTCGCCGGTCTCCCATCCACCACCATCCATAAAATCCAAATCATTCAAAACTCTGCCACCCGCACAAAACTCCACTCTCCGATCACCCCAATCCTTGCCAGACTGCACTGGCTGCCTATCCCAGAGAGGATCGATTTCAAGTCCCTGTACTCCTCTGCACCTCCCGACCTCTCTGACCTCCTCTCTCCTCAAAACAGTACCCACTGCCTCGTCCCCCGAGTCCTCCGCTCCACCCTCGACACCTGTGGCTTCAGCCACTGTGCCCCGAGGCTCTAGAACTCCCTTCCTCACTCCCTTCACCTTACTCCCTCCCTTCCTATTTTCAGGTCTCTGCTGAAGACCTTTCATTTCGACCGCGCCTTTGGTCACCTTCCCCCCACCTCCCTCAGGCTCGGCCCCGGGATCCGTTATTGTAAAGCACTCTGAGACGCCATCCGGCATGGAGGGTGCTTTATAAATCCAAATTGTTGTTATTGTACATTTAAATGGTGTCAGGCAAGATCTGTGTGCTTTGTTCAGCTGCAGTTTACACAATGCAAACCAAGTTATTTTCCGTCCCTACAAACCTCTCATTGACTGATACTAAGGTTGGGATATGGGTTCTATGGGTACTGAGTACTGTACAAGTAATCATGCTTGAGACCAGATAATTAATGTCAACAGGTTATTCAACCACAGAGGCATTTGCAGCCTAGTGAAATAATACCCCTTCCCTTGCCCACTAGCAGCCCAGCAGATAAGTACACACTGAACTTGAGACCTCCAAGTCTGTAGAGCTCAGTGTTTGCAGCTCAGACTTGCACTTGCATTAGCAAAGCAGCAAGCAGGTCAGGAGGTAATGTGGCATTTTAATGAGCCCTTATATTGTGCGTGAGCAACTCTAAACAGGTGATTGGCTCGATTTGAATGGCAGATCACAACAGGATTTACTCTGTGACCAATTCAGAATCAATAACAGGGAATGACTCTTCACAGGGAGTTAGTGTAAGGTACAACCAGAAACCAGATGGGTTCTCGGTTAGCTACTGAATCACTTTTAGTGAGTCCAAACATGTGAACCACCCTTTATTCTAACCCAATGTCAAATACGTAAAACCACAGATCCATTCCCAGCTGGCTCCTGTTTAGTTTTCACCAGGAGCAAAATAGAGCTGAGCTGAATACAAACAAAATCTGACAATATTGGGACTTGGTCTTGAAGCTCCCAATAATTTTAATGAGCTAATCTATTCTTGATCAATTGCAGAGACTTGCTTACAAGTTCCACTACCTCTCTGGTAACTAGCATGCTATAAAACTAGCTGAGCTGAGCTAAACTGTCTGTAGGTGATCAGGAATCATGGAAGAATAACATGACCTATAATTTTAATTGGTGCACAACTCAGGGATCGGTGTATATTTTCAGGTGCAGTGAGTGTCTTCCTGCAAATGCTATAGTGGAATTCAGTAAAATCTAGCTAATCTGAAATCTACCTGTTCAGTCCAATCTATATTGGGGCATGCTTTAGATGCTACTGTACCTATTCAGCAGAGAAACTTCTGAAGGAGAAATTTGACCTTAACAGATCTCACTTTTCTTATAAACTGCTACAATGGGATAAAAGTTTGCAGTGTTTCAGAAGGCATTCCTCGCATTAATTGACATGTAGAGGAACCATCAATCCATCACTCGAGGCCAGGACAATTATCACATTACATACTATATTCCCCCACTTCCCACCCAGTGACAGTTAATAATTATTCCATCAACTAAACAAAGAAAATAAAATGATTACAGTACAATACAATGTACATTGCGCCTTTTATGTTGGGAGGACATCTCAAAGCACTTGACAGTGCCGGCTGAGCACTCAAATTAGGCGTGGGAGCCAATGGGGGTGAGGGCCAAAGGAGATGGGGAGGGGAAAGATAACAAAAATCACAGTCAATGGGGTACATCTTCAGTACAACTTAATTGTTTGAATAGAGATTTAATGTGTACTTTATTCAGCTTCGGCATGACACTCAGAGGTGCTTAACTTTGTTCTAAGGAAATTAATTCAAATGTTAAGTCTTTCAATACTGATATTATTACTAGCATTTGGGCATTCTTGCCTTTTTGCTGCCTAAAAATTTAAATCCTTAACTTTGTGTCCAACGGTATCATTCTAATAAAGATATTAGATGAATCCAAAAGCAATGCTTGGCTTAAACTGTGTGAAACACAGTATTACAACAGTTTTTTTTAGATATTTCTGATCTAATTTTGCTTCATTTCCCTTACTGATTGGCAGTATTAATAGCCTGGTGGTGAGCCAGCCTGAAAGTTAATGAAGATTCTGCAGCAAAATATGCTTGAGGTTTTAAGAACAGCAGGACTTCCAGCCTCCGATCAGCCTATTTTTGTGAAAATATTTCTGCATGCTGTCAGAAGCCAACGGCAAACAGTTTAAAGTGGTGAAACCCTTCTAATATGTTTTGCTATTTTGCTAAATAGTGAATAAATGCTACCTCTTAAATATTCCACAGTACTTATTTATTATTCACATTGCATTTGCATTTCAAAGTAACGCATTGAAACATTCAAGAGCAATAGATGTCAAAAATATTATATAAAAAAGATACCAACTTGCTCGGACTTTGGAGACTAATAATCTCTTTTATTTCATCTTGATTTTCATTCAGTTTTGGTACTTTTAACAGTAAATAGTTAGATGTTTGATGTGATAAGGCATTGTTAAAAAATTGTGTTTTTTCTCACAAACACTGCTGCTGTTGGCTTGGGAATAGTGTAAAGACAAATTTAATGGATCTACTAAACAAAGCAGCAGCTTACACTTTAATTTGTATTCAGTCATTGTCCATGTCAATTAATTTCAAGTAATAAAAAGCACTATTAGCCCATTATAAAAGCTCAATTTTTATGGTGCGTTCTGGAACAAATTATTTCAATAAGGGAAGAAAGCAATGAACTTTATCGTATAATAGCATTGTCTGAATTGGTTGATCTTCATGGAGTGTTCAGTAAATCTCATTAAGCTTATTTCATACACATTTGATTCTACAGAACAAGATCAATTCAATACCTCCACCCTGTGGGTATACTATCTATATACCCCTTCAAGCCCCTCTCTTTCATATGCCTAAACTTTTAAGTCAAGATTTGGGGGTAATACTCACGACCAGAGCGAGTTTCTGCCTTGTGTTACAACTCCAGTGAACTTAGTCAGTCTTCTGGCATCCAGTTCAAACCACTGCGAATGATCATTCCGACCAGCACACCAACCTCCGTCATAGAAATCATCTTCAAAGATGCCGGCCTGTGATATGATAATTCACAGTCTAAGTACAGTAGTTAATCTCCTGATTTTCTTAAACACCCTTTTACCGCTGACTGTCAAGAATAACAATAATAGCAGACAAACTTTTTAAGTTAACAATAATAGCAGACAAATTTTTCTCGTGACTTGAATCAAGTGGTAAGTATCTTCCACACTTAGCTATAGATAGATGGACAGAGCATGTTATGCTGCTAGTCAAACATTCATTGTTCTCATTTTCTCTTTTGTCATAAAATTATGTTTCCTAAGAATTAATTGGTCAATTTTTTGGACAGTTTCCCCGCCAGCCCTCCTCCCCCCCAGAATGGCAAGGTAAAACCTATAATTACCTGTGCCATAATTAATGTATGTGCATATTTTTAATTTTAGCACTGGGCAATTACAATCTACTAATGTTCCAAATTTAAATTAATGCGCTCAAATTAAAAAACTAAAGAGAAAGGAAATACAGCTTCGAAATATGACAACTCAGAGAAGCTTATCTGCAATCACCTGTAAGAATCTGTAACCTGAGTGGGAATCGCTGATGTTGAGTGGGAGGAGATGCTGATAATATCATGATCTGCAACTGATTGAAAAGCCTCTGATTTGTGCAATAAAATGAAATACAATTACCTTGTGCCTGAGTTTTTTTAACCCACACTGAAGCACGGAATCTGATTCTACAAGACAAATGACAAGACTTTATATTGGACTGTTTTCAACCCTCTATCATTATGTCATGGTCAGCAAGCAGTTGAAAGTGACTGGAAAGTACAAGTCCTGAGTTCAACTTCCACTCCCTTTCGCTCCATCTTACATTAAATTATCCAAAACGCAATAAAGTGTAATCCACCTGTAGTTACATTTCCATTCAGCTGCATTCATGCCAATTCGCAACTAAAAGGACAATAACATGCAGTGGGCTCAACGTTCTTGAGAAATCTAATATTGAGTGGTTCACATGAAGTTAACATTATGGGCCGACTGATTTTTTTGTGTGTAAAAATAATTATTCGAATGTTTTTCGATAGAAAAAATTAAAAGGTCATCTGTTTTCTCCCTTACCACACAAATTCCATGCATGTTTTTTAAGTTGCAATGCCTGCTTTGTGAAAGAGAATCCACAACAGAGATGTCTTCCAGTATACTGACATTCTGTTACTGTTGTAAGCTTCTGATAAAAGTGCTATTTGTTTTCCTTCATCTCTCTCACACATAGGAAAAAAAGCAATTGTACCCATTTATCTCTGAGGAAAATAGAAGCTATTGTTTGCCTAACACTTTCAATAGGTTATATTTTTAGATGATTGTCGGAAAATCATGCAGTTTAGTTTATTTCTGCAGAACTATTAAAAAGCAAATTGCCATTTGCTATATTTGAAACCAGGAATCACTCTGTTGATGCAATGCACCTAGTGAATTATTATACGCTTAATTAGTTATAGTCTGTCCCCTTCCCCTGCTACACAAAGTTTATGAGCATTTATCAAAATATCATCTTCTTACAAAATTCAGAGTAGTGCACTAAATGGTAGTCAAAGCCATTATCCAGATGTTCAATGCTGTAGGCCTGACTTCACGGTCGATCCCCTTCAGAACAGCATTGGGTTGGTCTGTCTCTGACACGCAAGGGTTCATTTAATGTAATAAATTTCAAATGTTAACTAAATTGACCAAATCTATTTTGACATTTGTAGCAACATCTGCTACTCTACCTGCTACTGTGGCACTGTGTTCTGCTGATTTTAAACATCACTGTTTATTGTGAATTGACTCAGAGGCCAAAGTCAATATCCCAATCATATTCTGGATCACTGACAACAAAGGTAACTTATCCAATTCATCAATCATGCTTTCATTTTCTGAGATGAACACAGACAGACAAAACGACTTGCAATGGTTCCTCTTCGATCTTGCCAAAGAGAGAAAAGTATCTCACAAAGTTACACACTGTCCCAAGGTCTGAAAGATCAAAAACGCTTAACAATAACATCTCACTGAACCTTTCCGCTTTGATATTGAAGGCCTGCTGTACTTCTCCAGAAATATTAGTAAGTATAGGCAAGCTTTCACTGTGTGCTACAGCCACTCATGTTCAATGCTGTACCAAGAATCAAAAATGTATTTATGGTGAACCAAAAGAAAGATGATTTGTTTCAACTGTACTAACAGAGTAGGAAAGAGTTAAGACTTGCTCTGCCACTTCCCATCACCGAACTCACACAGTGCAGAGCAGAGTGTACAGCAAAAGGATAAACAAGATTTCCTTCTCTTTAACCATTTCTGTAAAGTAATGGTTAAAGTAAGATTTAAGAGCGCCATGAGAGACATTTAATGGAATGGATATACAAGGATGACGTGGGGAATTGGAGATTCCCTCGCAACATCTCTGTTCCGCGGCATTGAAAACTGTCAGTTCATGATGTTTAGGGCCTGTTAATGGCATTTTCTCAGTCAAGTCTTTTCCATGTCGCTGCTTATTGTCAGCACAACACTCCAAGAATAATCTATAACCAGATCAGGAAGATTAGATCACCACTGGTTTAGCACTGATCCATATAAACCTGAAGGCTATAGTTTTGTATTTGTTGAGTTAGCTGATCTCAGCATAGACAGCATTAAAGTTGATACAATTGACCTCTACACATCTGTGTGTAAGGGAGAGGAAAATCGGATTTTTTCACCCTCTATGGCAAAATGTGCTGGGATGCTCCCCATAACTCCTCGCCTGCTAACAATCACTGTCGAGACTCACACAAGAATAATAGTCATATGAATGTGATGCCAGATATGGCAATATACCACATGGAGAGTCAGTGCCTTCAGAAGAGAATGCAGAGAAAAAGTGGCTAGAAAAAATGGCAAAGGAAATAGCCTGCCACTGTTCATAATAATTGTGCAGAATCAATTCTAAATATATTGGAAGGCATTCCTTTGTGAAATAGCACCTCAACATACCTTCTCAATTAAAATGAGTGCTCAAAAAGCTCCGTTAAAGCCCTGTAATTACAATTATTTTGAACTATTAAGAAGAATGCCATGGCAGGATTAAATCTGTGTACTCCACGTACCTTTAATGAATTTTCCTAGATTTATTATGTAATGAGTGCTAAAGAAGACTGAGGGATTTCACCCAACACAAAAAATAATGTTCGTTTTAAGTATGTACCTGGATATTCAGTCGGCCTCTGTGGGCCCCCAAGCCATAACGTTGAGTTGTAGATGCATGAAGCTGAAAATCGTCGATTCGCAAAGTCTCCAAGCCTACAGGAGGACATTCTGTTGAAAAAAAGGACCTTAATTAAACACAGTAATATATCAGTAACACATGCTCAAACACAAGTTTTCCCTGCAACTTACCAATACTTCCGATTCCAAAGGAATATTCATTGCTTCCATCTATTTGAGATATCTAATTGATCTGTGGGTGCATTTTGAAAGGTAAATAAAACCAGCAGCAATCTTTGTTCGATCCTATTTTTTAAAATTCAATTGCGAGTTTAAATAAAGCTTACTGTGTTTTATCTTTTGAACCATTAGCTGCTGTGTGCATCCTCTCGATTTTCATTCCTTACCCTTATTTTACAACAACAACTTGCATTTATACAGCGCCCTTCATTGCCAACGGGGTCTCCGAGCTCTTTACTGAAGGCTGTCATTCGTGCTGGGCTGTGGATCCACACAATGTCACTAACCTGTCCATCTACAACTCCAGCAATCATTCACGAGTGCAGATGATTGTTCAAGTTTTATTGAAAATATTATGATTTCCCCCATCTCTAAATCAACCAACATTGCATTTTATTGCTGAGAGGAGGTCCAAATGCTTCTCGAATCCCCAAAGCTCTATTCATGTTTTCATTACATTATTTCCTTCGCTTAGTTTGAGCAGGACAACCGTATTTACTCACCATTAACTTCCTAATCTTTTAGGTTAGGGCTGAATGCAGCTCACCAGAGCTGGTGTTTATTGTATTAACTGAACAAACAAAACACTTACAATTAAAAAGACCACAACTATCTTGGTTTTATATTAAGCAGCAGCCTGGATCGGATGGTAGCGCTCTCGCCTCTGAATAGAGAAGGTTGTGGGTTAAAGCCCCGCGTTAGAACTTGAATGCGTGTACTGTCCCGCACCAGGCTACGCGACCACATCACTCCCACCCTCGCTCGCCTCCACTGGCTCCCCATCCCCAGAGGATCGAATTCAAGATCTTCATCCTCACCTACAAGGCCATTCACGGCCTCGCTCCCTCCTACCTCTCCGATCTACTATTCCCCCTACTTACCTGCCCGTACCCTCCGTTCCTCTGGCTCCGGTCTGTTCCACATCCCCCGCCCCAACCGCCCTTCAGCCTCTCAGCCCCGAGGCTCTGGAACTCCATCCCCCAGTGCCTTCGCCGCTTCCTCCCTTTCCTCCTTCAAGGCCGGTCTCAAGACCTTTCTCTTTGACCGAGCCTTCAGCTCCCCTCTCGACTCTCTACCCCCTCCTCGCTCCTTCCCTCCCCTCACCCTGACCATTTCCCCCACTGCTCGGGTCCTGACCCAACTGTGCAGCGCCTTGGGACGTCCTCCCGACGTGAAAGGCGCTCTAGAAATGCAATCTTGTTGTTGTTGTTGTTGTTGAAATTATGGCGTGTAAGCTTGACACGCTAAGGCAGGGCTGTATTGTTGGAATGTTAAACCAAGATTCAGGTGGACATTAAAGATCCCATGGCACTATTCAAAAAGTGAAGGGAGTTTCTCTTGGTGTCCTGGCCAGCAATGCCCCAAGTAAAAATTGATCATTCACTTCATGGCTGTTTGTCAGGCACTGCTGTGCACAAAAAGGTTTGGCTTGTTCAACCAAAAATGCACAGTTGTTATATCCTGTGAAACATTTTGGGACGTCCTTTCAACATGAAAGGTGCTATATCAAATGTAAGGATTATTATTATTAATCTCAAATTTAATTTGGGATTAACAAACAGCAAGTAGTATGATGGATATAAATCTGATGTGTAAGATTGTACAGCATCTCCAGGTTAATCTACTTTGTTTATGTTAATAAGAGAATTACGTTGCAGAAATATTTCCTGCCAGGAAATATTCTTAATTCTGATTAATATGAACATAAACTTTCAGCAGCATACCTGTGAGAAGGGCAATACATTATCTAACCATTCCTTAAAGTATTTATCAGTGCCCAAAACAACATTATTTCAGTATCTTCATTATGTTCCATACCAGCATTACATTTTTGTTGCAGCCCAGAGAATGCATATAAATGGATGTTGATGGTATCTATGGTAAAACCTGCCAGCACAGTGTGTGTGGGGGAGAAAACAAAGGAATATTTGTTTTTAATTTGACAGTGACAAAGTACTTCTTAGCCTCGTCACTTCTGTTCCTGCTTAATACGTTCTGTTGACTTCAAATTGATTCATAGAGTTTACCTTGCACACAGAAAGGAAGATTACTGGGCTACCTATGGTCATAATTCATCAACAATATTAAACATTTACATTTTACCACATTCAGAAATGAGAGCAATATTTCACCTCATACTTGTTTGTGTTTCATACAGAGCTGTCAGAGTCGGATGATGTTCTTATTTTAATAAATTACGATTACCAACTTGGAAAGTTTGAAACAGTGTGAGATTTCGTTGAAAAGCAATTGATGTTTAGATAGGGAGATCTGTTTTTAATTGCTTAATACCTTGCAGTCTGGAACACAGTGACCTGTAGTCAAACCAATATCACTGGTTAAAGCAAACATTCATGCACGTTTATTTGAGGTAGGCTGGCTGGTAGGAATTCCTAAAATGAAGGTGTTTATGAGATTAATCCAGCAGAAGGAGCTCTTTGATTAAATAAGAGTCAAGAGTTTCATTAGCTCTAACTTTATGCACCAGCGCTGTTATCTTCTTTGGCTTTGGAAGCACCAAACGGCAGTACAGTGATCCCAGTTTACACCTGTATTCTCATCAGTAGAAAACATCCAAAGAATGGACTCAACTCATTTCCACTTCACATGACTAAAGGTTGTGTGTTAAAGCTCAGGCAGCCAGCTGCACCTTCAAAGTATGTGTATATCTACATCAAAGACGAAGGCCTAATTGGTTCTGTCAGCGCTTCTCAGTTGGTAGAAAGCTCACCACAGCCAGAGACTGATACGCAGGACTTCAGACATTCGCTTAAGCAGAGTTCGCCCCCCTCTACACCCACAACAACATAAGGAAGCACTGTTAACCACACCTCACATCATCACTCTGATGCTGTGAGCACTGCACTGGTCAGTGTCCAGTGAACGTTCAGTCTAACACCAGTTCCACAACATGAGTTTTGGCACAAATGTCAGCAGCAGTGCTGCATAATTAATGAAGTCACATTGTTGCCTCCTGAAATCTTATCCATTGCATCCTGAGACGGGTCCTTAATGAAGGCAGGCAACACTGTCAGTGACAGGAAGATTAATGCCTGCTGACGCTGACTCTTTTGCTCATGCAGTACTTCCGTCCTGTCCCACATGAACAATGCTAGCGATTGAGGACTGTCAGCAGATGGAAAAATTAAAGTCGCGACTTGCACAGTGTTGGTCAGTGCTGTGATTTTTGTCCCGCTGTGTTAACCTGCTGGCAACCTCCTCAAGATACTTCACAACTGGTTCCATTTGAATGCGCTCTGAAGAGTGTCCTGCCGCAACAGTGAGTCTGCCAATTCTATGCCGATCAATGCCAAATTCTAGCGAGTGTTGTGCTGTTTCGGCTGCGGCTCAGCCAACAATGAGAGCTTCATCAGCACTGGCATGATCACAACCGCGCAAAGCCACTAACTTGGTTGAGGTGCTTGCTGAGCCTGGCTGCATTCTCTGGCTTTGTCACACGACATTAGTATTCCTGAAAGTCAATAGACGGTCCCTTGGCAGAGGAATGAACAGTCAGAATATCTACATCAACAATAACTTGCAGTTACATAGCACCCTTCATGCAGGGTAGGGTCCCAGAGCACTCGTCATGTTAGAGAGTGATGAAACCACACATTACACGTGTGGTATGATGATGGCCCAAGCCTAATGGATGCCCTACACCTCTGCTGGAGCTCCTAATAAACTAGTTCAGCAGTTATACAGCGCTCTGAGACGCTACCCCACGTGAAGGGTGCTACGAAAACGCAAGTTTTGATGTTTTCGTGGTTATAAAAAGGTTTACGAATAAAAGCAACTAACATTCAAGAGTAGCGTAAGCTACCATTGTTTAGTTAGAATCTGTTTTTATGACAGGCTCACCTATAGGCACGATGCAGGCTGTCCAAACCAAAAGGAAACAAAAAATTCTGCACTATAAAGCGCAGAGATAGGAGTGGTGTCGCAGTGCAGGTAGAAGTGTTACTCTAATCACTGAACACACTGTGTAAATCCCAGTATAAGAGCTATACTGAGCCTGGCCCAGAATCAATGATCCAAAAAAATAATAATTTAGTCACTCAATCTATGACTATTTGTGGGACACCGCTGTGCGCAATTGGCTGCTGTGTTTCACCCACAAAATATACAGTCAATTCACCTAACAGTATATTCTGTGAAGCTCTTTGAGACTTCTCGAAGACGAGATAAGGCACTATATCAAATTCAAGGATTATTATTATTATTATTATCTGCTGAAACATGCTATAGACAATCTGCAGTGAATCCAGCAAGCTCCACAGAGAGAAATAAATTGTGTTGCCCTTATGGTGAAAAATTATACTTGTTATAAGTGCCCAGGGTGCCCTTGGAAAGCAATGCCTGGTCAGAGCAGCAGGACACAGGAATCTGCTGTTGAGTAACTAACCAAATCTCTCATGTTTTCATATGGTTGATCGAATCCTTTAATTCAGTGAAAAATGCTACAGGCAACCTTCCAGTTTTAGCTTTCTGGTCTCATTTATAAATGTCCAATTGAAAATGTTTTTACAGAATTACAGGGGATGGAATTACTCAATATCTGAAATTTAACCGCTGTTAGTTTGGTCCAAACACTCAACAATGCCTCAAAACAACGGGAATGAATTAGAACCCTCTCCCAGTCACACATCTTTATATGGCTGGTTTAGAGTCAGACTGATTCAGCAAGTACCAGTCTTGCCTTGGGGCAGAAGGTTATGTGTTCAAGGCCAATGTCAGAACTTTGAGCTCATACTTTGGTGCTTTATCAGGTATGTGGAGTTTCCTTACTCCACATACCTGATAATAATCCCTCCAGAAAACAAAAACAATAACAAAAATTGGTCACTCAATGCACGACTGCTTGTGGGACA